AAAGGAAAGAAAAATGAAACTGCTTAAAATTTGCACTTAGAATTTGTTTTGGAGCTTGATGAAATGACTCCTAAAAATTCATCTGGAAGCATAAAAATAAGAACAGGCCAGAAATATTTGAAAAAGAAAAGCTCTGTGGACGGCCCTGAACTGTAACACCAAATACTAAAACTCATTAAGAAGCTATAACAACTACAATAATGCAGTGCTGGCAAGGAAGAGAGAGCTCAACGGAACAAAGTAGAGACGTCAAGAGTCACAATTTATTATCTGATAAAGGCAGAATTTCAATTCTGAGGGGAAAGGAAGGCTTATGTAATTTGTGGTGGTCAAACTACTGGCAAATGGATTTGAAGCAAAATCACTTCAACTTAGAACTGTCCCTGACAACATATAACAACAAAATGGATTAAATACTGAACTGCAGAAACTAAAAACCTGAAATATAAGAAAGTACATGGGGATATGTATCAAAATTGAGGGCAAGACTTCAGGTCAGAGGCAGAAGCAACACCACATAAAACTACTACTACATTAAAAAACAAAAATTCACACACACTTTTTTTAAAAATCACTATTCAAACAAACTTCAAAGAAACTGAATACTGGGTAGGAGGGAATGCTCATATATTTTAAATATTAAACTACAGGAAAATAAGAACTTGGTAAAACTGTGCGAGGAATATGAACATGAAACCACACACAAACAAAAAGAAGTACAAATGGCCAAAATGTTGATGCTCAGTGGTCAAAAAAGCAGTTAAACAATACAATATCTCCACTGTTGTCAATGGGGAGAGGGGTCCCATAATGGGATAGAAATATGTCAGTTCAGCTTCCTTGGAGGAAAAATTTTAAAGTTAGTATCAAAAAAGGCATTAAGCAGGCATGATGGTGCACACCTTTAGTCTCAGCACTGGGGAGGCAGAGGCAGGCAGATGTCTGAGTTTGAGGCCAGCCAAGGCTGTATAGGAGACTGTATCAAACAACAACAACAAAAAGACATTAGACTCAAAATTACTTCTTCTACAGCTTTTAGGCAATAGGTGTCAATATTTTATTTCATAATTTTAATAATGCTGGATAGCCTAATAATGACAGGGGATTAATAATGTTTAGGAACAAACAAAGTTGGTCACAAGTTTACTGAGTGGGTCGGGGGGTGGGCATAAAGACAACTGTCACAAAACCACAGTAATGACTAAAGATTACTGAAAACTTTAAAAAAACAAACAAACAAACAAAAAAACACTCTTACACACATGCATCCCAAGTGCATAGCTTTCCCTGGATGAGGATTACAGAACAGACAGCATGCTCCTCCATCTAACAACCTTTCTACCTTGTCTAACTTAGGTCACACAGAAGCTGCTCTTACTTCCTTTGAATGACACAGGGATTCCTTCTGTTTAAGGCTTCCTCAACTAACAGTTAGCTATAAAAGTAAAAAGACTTTGAAAAACTGAATGCATGCACTCTCCCTCTCTCTCTCTGTGGGTCACACACAGAGTAGCTCTTCAACATGTCACTATTCAGAGGTCTCCAGATGTATTATTCAAAAGAAAAAGTTTTAAAACTATAAAAATTTCCTATTTGTAGAAGGGAAAAAGAATATATTTGTAAACCGTGTGTGATGGCACACACCAGTAATCCTGCTCTTTCGTGCACATGTGTGTGTGTGTGAGTGTGTGTGTGTGTATGTGTGTGTATGTAAAACACACATGTATACTTAGTCTTTCTGAAAGCCTAAGTACACTGCAATGCACTTGGTCATCATGCTAACACGGACAACTGAACATAAAATAGAGACTTTGGGGTCCTTTAGGGGGATTTGTGGGGGGGGGGGTGCTGGGGATTGACAGGATAAGTGCCACCAGGCTGTGACACATGGCATCATCGTCAGTCTAACAAACAAGTTTATAAGAAATGGGTGAGTGGATAAATGAAGAAAGAACCCAGTAAGACTCCTAAAATACACTAAAATTAATTAAAATTCTTGAGAAGTTTGTAATGCACTGTGAACTAAATTGACATCACTTTCTAATATATACACTGCTTAAGTTCTATGACCCTTCAAGTCATCTTATTCAAAGCACCATGAGAGAGCAAATGTGCTTAGCTGTGTGCTGAGAAATGATGCTTATGGTTATTCCAATTCACTAGTAATCATCTGACTACTAAGCCTTGAGATTAAAATCTGTAGAAGTACTTTTCTAAGAATGTTTGACTGGTTGCACTTATTAGTGAACTGAAAACTATGGTAAGCTCTGGCAAGGCCTGACAGCCTGGCTGCCATGTTGTATTAAACAGCAGACCATGATAATTTCAGTTGTGATTGACAACTAGATGCCTTTCAGTGAAACCAATCCTTGGAAATGGCACTAGCTAATGCTACTCACTTAGAGAGCCTGGAGCCAACAGGAAAACTACTAGTGAATGGACAGGGAAGACAGTCACAACAGAGGACTGAAAAACAGCCATACAACAGGCTTACAACTGTTGAACAGCAGCAGTAAAGACTGAAATGAAATTCCTCCAGTAAGCACAGTGGATGAAGGCTGCACTTTCTCATCTAAAAAAAAGCATATAATCAGGAATTACACATGTAGTGATTCTAATTTTATACAATCAATAGCCTGAAAAATCTTAAAGTAACAGAAAATATTGGCAAATTAAAAAGGGCTCCCCTAATCTCGGCACTATTTCTCTTCCTGAGGAGAAATTCTTAAGGGAAAAAACTTTCAACGATGAATGTACTATTAAGGGTGGCCTCTCTATGAGGTCTGAAACAGAGGGAAAGTGTGCATTTATTCCAGACATATAGCCAACAATAACTTTTACATTCTGAATGCAGCTTAGGTGTATTAGTTGAAAAGATGTTTGAAAAACTATTTAATAAGAAAGTGTTGAATTTAGCTTTCGGTTTATTTTTCTCAGCCTTTTAAAATGGTCTTAAGTCCATCAAATATAACTATATTAAGTAGAACTTCTCCTAAGCATATTGTTTTCTTCTTATACAGGGTTGGTCTTATAGATCAGAGATCAAACTTCTGCAAGACCAGACAGTATTTTCAGCTTCATAGTCAATATGGCCTTTGTCACAAATACCTAAGTCTACCAGGTAGTACAAAAACAGCAATGGACAACAGATAAATGAATAAGCATCACTGTGGTCTAATGAAATGTTATTTACAGAAACAGGCTACACAGCTGTAGTTTGATGATCCATGTGATAAATCATCTGCTTTTTTGCCTACTAACACATACACCGCTTTGGGATTTCTTGTTTGTCTGTTTGGTTTGGTTTGTGTTTTGTTATTTTGTTTTGTTTTGTGAGACAGGATCTCCCTGTAGGTGTAGCCCCAGCTGGCCTGGAACTTGCTATGTAAATCAGGCTGGCCTCAAGATCTACCTGCCTCTGCCTCCAGAGTGCTGAGATTAAAGGCATGTACCACCACACCTGGCTGCACATAAACTGTTTTAATGAATCCTATGAGAATAGCTTCAAAATATTTCTTTTTTCTTAAAGTGGAGGGTGGGGAAAGAGGTCAAATAAGACTGGGAAAAGACAATTATTGTTAAATTTAGATAACAGATACATGGAGTTCATTATGCAAAATTTTTTCACAGTTTGAAAAGGTCCAAATCAATAGCTAAAAAATACAGCAAATCAGTTTAGTGCCACAGAAAAATGAATTTCTTCACTTATTATAAATATAGTATATGCTTAACATTTTGAATGTAATTAATACAACATAAAAGATTCTCAATTAAAAAGCTATTAATCTGTAATGGAAAACTAGATATACATACACATAAGTTTACTACTTCTCAAATGCAAGTATAACTAATCTTTTATTTCTCAGTTTTAAATTCTAAGTGATCAATATTTATAGAAATGACCCTTATGACCAAGTTCTCCAGAGTCCGAACAGTTAAGAATATAAAGAGATCCTGAGAGCATAAAGTCGAAGAACCTACACCATAAAAGGCTTTCAATGTCATTTGAAGCATGTCCATCAAGCAGCTATCAAATGGCATAGTGATTATTACCATGTAGTGAAGTCAATCCACAGTAAAAGTTATCAATACACACCCACAAGAGGAAGGTATTTAAACTTTCCACAGAAATATCTTTTACAGTACCTGGTAAGTTACTGGAAAAGAACTATACCATTGTCTCTTCCCCTGTCCCTGTATATATCTGTCTCCTGAACCACTAATAAAGAAAATTCTGTCCCCACATAGTTCTCTAATCTGCTACCCCAATGATCATAATTATTCAGTGCAAGGCAGAAATCAAGCTGAACAGAGCTTTAGGAAAGAAATCTTAACAAATGTGCAGTTTCTCAGAGATTCTATATATTTGGTTTTTTTAATGTTTTAAGTGTCTCATAATAATCTGAAATACAATAACTACAAATATCATCAAAATTAATTTAAATTAAGCTCACAAAATTATGACATTTGAGAAAAATGAATACAATAATTACAAATATCATCAAAATTAATTTAAATTAAGGCCACAAAATTATGACATTTGAGAAAAATGAGGAATACAATAATTACAAATATCATCAAAATTAATTTAAATTAAGCTCACAAAATTATAACATTTGAGAAAAATGAGAACGTCTCTGAAAACATTTTTACTACCCACAATCACTATCAATTAAAAATTTTTCTAAATCTAAAACTAACATAGTAATAAAGAACCCGTATGTCAGCTGTGGGGCAGTACCAACGTGGACATACAGATGATCACTCCTTCCATCTTCACAAAGGGAGCCCGCACTCACTCTTCAAATGTAGTGCACCATGGTAGCACTTCTATCCAGTGCCGCCTTGCACGTGGCTGTTTCAAATGGTATGAAATTATTTTACTTTGGTTAAATCAAATTACATTAAGTAAGGTTTACAAATCTCCTTTCTAGTTCCTTCTTCAACTTTCATAGATGAGAAAGAAAGGTGACAGCCACATGGTGGGAGGCCATACTCACATCATACTCTGCACTTCTGCTGCAAAGCTGACAGTCTTCCCTGTGCTTCTCCCACTACTTGAAGTTGAGGTCGGCATCGGGCTAGCTGCAGTATTATTCATCTAAATTAGAAGGAAAACAAAGCTTTCATAATGTATTTAACTACAAGTGTACAAAATGTAGGCAATTCTAAATTACTTTGAAAAGTATAGAAATTTTTAATTTCTGATAATTTTGGCTTTACATAAATCCAATTTTCTTATACTTAATGTCTTTATTATTCAAACAAAGATAGCATAATGGGGAAAAACTGCTCAGTCAATTCTGGAGGCTCTCTGGTCAATCAGTCAGTCTAGCCAAAACAGCGAGTTCCAGGTTCACTGAGACCCTGTCTCAAAAACGAAGGTGGAGAAATAACTGAGGAAGAAAACCTGATGTCAACCTCTGGCCTCCGCACATGCCCACACAGGCAAGCAAGTGCACGTACACACACACACACACACACACAGACACACACACACAGACACACACACACACACACACACACTAACTTTTTATCTTATGTATGGGAATATCAAGTAAGAT